TCTTGTATATGATGCATTTAATCCTTTTAAAATCATGAGTACTTCGTACAATATTTGGTATGGGAGGAAATTTATAATATATCTTAATTGGTTAATTTATAATATATCCGTTAATAGTATTCTTGTAACTAGTTACTAATATTGTTATCTGTTTATTGCAAATAGTATGCCTAGGAAGAAATTAAGTGATCTATGGATTGTTTGAGCTTCACAAGAGGAGGAAGAAACAAATAATGAAGAACCGATTGGTGGTGGATCTTCGGAAGTTCTTAATACAGTTGACGAAAATGTGGAAATTGAAGGTAATGTTCGATACTTTATTTAAATGGCGGTTGATTTTTTATTGATCTGATTCTAAAAACTTACACACTGAATTATTTCTTATGTAGCTGAAAATAGTCAAAGGTGCAAGACTAGAGGTCGCACGATAATGAAGGAATTATACAATGAACGTGTGAAAGATTCGAGTAATAATGTTGGTCAACCTATTGGGATAGAAACACGTGTTCTGGATGGTTACTTAAACATAATTGCATGCAATGCTAATCTTCTACATATCAATTTTGAGTCATGGCGTGAGATGTCAAATAGTAACAAAAACCAAGCTGTAGATTGTATTAAGGTAATAATTTCACTCTATAAGGTAATTCATTACTATTCAATAGTAAGTTATATTTACTTTTAACACTTGTGTTATTTGTAAGATAAATTTTCTCTAGAGGTCTCAGATAATTATTTGAAGCAAGCCCTAGGAAAGAAATGAAGAGACCACAAGAGTTCCTTAAAAAAGAATTATTTTAAGAATGATCTTAGCCTAGAACAAAAGTTGTAAAATGTCCCACCTGGGATGCTCATGTATCAATGGAAGATGCAGTCAGGTTTTGGAGTTCAAAGAAATGAGAGGTATGATGCACTTTAAAAAATAATATTATGTCACTATAATATTTACTTTATAAGTCATGTAAATTTCAAATTGTAGGACCGAGAGTACGTTGGTATTGCTAGCAGACAACGATAAAAGTTTACTCATACAGTTGGATCAAAGAGCTTTTCTCATATAGCTCATGATGAGGTATTGTTTTTTTTAATTATTGATTATTCACATAGTGATTTTAAGTTGGTAGTACATAATAACGTACATTTTTTTATTATTTGTTACTTTTTTGTAAGTACTAATTTAAATTCTACATTGTAGGAAATTACACCTGACAATAGAGTTGGACGAATAAAGCTCTTCAAAAGGGCACATACAAAAAATGATGGCTTTCTTATGACTCCTTAAATTGCAGAAATTATGGTATATTTACTGGACATAAAATCTGAATTATGTTATACTTATATTTATTATATTAAAATTTTTATTTTAAATATTGAATTCGTTTCTTAATTGATTATTAGGAAAAATTGAGTGATAAAAGGGTAGAGTATGAAGCTACGGATTTATTGAGCTCCTACAAACAACCAAAGATGCCAAGAGGGGGTGAATTGACCTTTTAAAAAGTTTGGTGGAAGTAATCGAAAAAATAAAACTTTTTGCACAACGATTTAGAGTAACTTCTAAACCAAGTCTACATCCACTACCTTAGCATCCACACTAAGGATTTATCAAATCCAATAAATTTGTTTACCTTTAAGGACAATGTGTAACCTTATAAACACTTCAAGGTTTATACCCCAAAACCTTGAATACACTCTCTCCCAAAGAGTAATTACAAATTTAGCAAACTAAAGAAAAACCTCGCAAAGGCAAATAAGTTTGCACTAATTAAGCTCTCACTCAAATTACACTTTAGCGAAATAAACAATGTAGCTGACAAGTGTGTTTACAACAAATAATTTTACAAATTAACCACAAAACTAAGCTTTGATGTTGGTAGATTAGTTCAATATGATTCTTGATGACCTTGGGAAACTTTTACCTTCAATTTATACCTTCTCCATTAATTCTAGTCGTTTGGAGCCGTTGGCGATCATTATAACCGTTACCTAAAACCAAAAAACAACATTTAATGCACAAGGGATCGATCCTTTGTTGAAAGGGATCAATTCATCTTAAAAAAATTTGATCGTTGTGACAAAGGGATCGATCTTTTAAGGGAAGGGATCGATCCTTTTGGTGAAGGCATAGATCCTTTTTCAAGGGGATCGATCCTTTGGTCAAAGGGATCGATTCTTTTGCTAGGGGATTGATTACAACAAATAATTTTACAAATTAACCACAAAACTAAGCTTTGATGTTGGTAGATTGGTTCAATATGATTCTTGATGACCTTGGGAAACTTTTACCTTCAATTTATACCTTCTCCATTAATTCTAGTCGTTTGGAGCCGTTGGCGATCATTATAATCGTTACCTAAAACCAAAAACAACATTTAATGCACAAGGGATCGATCCTTTGTTGAAAGGGATCAATTTATTTTAAAAAATTTTGATCGTTGTGACAAAGGGATCGATCTTTTAAGGGAATGGATCGATCCTTTTTATCGAGGGATCGATCCTTTTGGTGAAGGCATCGATCCTAAACTCATTGTTATCCAAGGGATCGATCCTTTTTCAAGGGGATCGATCCTTTGGTCAAAGGGATCGATTCTTTTGCTAGGGGATTGATACTTTGAGCCAAAAATTCTAGGAAACTTAACTTTAAAATGCGAAAACAATCGAGTTTGTTTTTGAAAAGGTTCAACTAAGTCAAAAAACATTTAAAACATATTTTTCAAGTTAATTTGGACTTTGAATTATTTTTGATAAATTTTTGACAAATTCAATTAAGTACAAATCAATTTTGCAATTTAATGTTATATCAAATTATTAATTCAACAGGATTCATCTTATGGCTCTATTAATGTTGATGTGATTGAAAATCAAGTTATTAGTGAAGTTTTTGATCTTGAAAGATATGGTCGAGTTCATTTTCAGGGATCCTTTGTTACCCTAACCAAATATTTTGGATCAAGCTCTTCTCAGTGCATTTCATCTCACAACCAATCTTCTCTATAATAAGTTAATCAATTAAAACAACAGTTGACTGAAGTGGATGAAAATTTTGTTGAAATGAAAGTAGAAGCTGAAGTGAGAGAAGTAGACAGAGAAGCAACATATCAGAAAAAATATGAAGAGCTTCAAAATCAACTTGAAGCTATGAAGCAAATGATGCAGCAAAATCAACCAAAGAAATCTTCATCCTAGGTGATTTAATAGGTTAATGCTTTGTTTATTCTAGTGAACAATGTTGAACTACGTTAAAGTTTAGTTGGATGTTTGTAAACTTTTATGTATTCGTACTTTTATGTATTTTAACTTAAGTGGAATTGTAATTACATTTCAAGGTTGTTATTGAGTATTGTTACATGTTAAGTTTGGGTAATGCAAAGTAGGAAAAAGACATTTTGAAAATCAGTTGGATTAGCGACGTTTTAGGGGGAAAAGCCACTAAAGGGGTACATAATTATCGCATTTATGTGTACAAAACGCCGTTAATGAACATGATTTTTTGCGGCATTTGTATGTAAAACACCACTAAAGAACATGACATTTTGCGGCATTTGTATGTGAAACACCACTAAAGAACATGACTTTTTACGACATTTGTATACAAAACATCATTAAAGAACATGACTTGTTGCAACGTTTGTTAACATAAAATGCCGCTAACACTTATGGCGTTTGTTTAGCCAGTACTTATTGTGGTTTTTTTTGTGCACAATAAGTATTTTAGCGGCACTTTAAAACGCGACTATAGGCTTATAACTTTTAATGGTAAATGGACTCAACAAAGCAACACTATATAGTTGGAGGACTATTTTATAACTTTTAATAATTAAGGACTTAATAAAGTAGTACCCTATAATCGGGGACCATTTGTGTACTTTACCCAATAAATTATTATGTTCTTATATATTATACGGAACAATAATGTGATATGATATAATAATAGTTTTAGTACCTAAAATCTTGACAATTCATCAATTTGATCTTAATCCAAAACAATTTCATAAATTCAACCCGTCATATTTAAAAATGTTGTCATTTAAGTATTTGCTTTTCTTCTAAATTGCTTATTTTTCTCTCATAAATGTTACTTTCCTAATATAATAACAATATAACATTAACTTATTGTTGATTTATGGCAGAATACCATTACCCAACTAGTACACTGATTTGATGGGCTTGTTTAATTTGATAATATCGTAAATGGACTAAATTGATAGAATCTTTAAATATGAATGATTAAATTTATTGAATTATTTTAAATTAGGATCCATTTGGTTGGGAAAAACATTAAAATATTTTTCCCGTTTTCTAGTGTTTGGTTCCATAAAATAGGAAAGTCTAATGGTGTGTTTGGTGGGGGAAATGTGAGATTCCCATGGGAATGAAATCCACATTTCCCGTTTGGTTGGCCGGGAATGTCATTCCCGGTAATGTTATATTATCAATAGTGGATTTTTTGGGGTATATTACCGGAAATGTTATTATCTCCCTTCCCTTAAGTATTATTGGATTACCGGCGTTTTGGATTAAAATGCCCTTAAATTTTTTTTCAAAAATATCATTCTTCTTTCATTGAATAATAAAAATTCTACGAATATTAAATTACAAATTTATCCTTAAACTATTTTAGATTTACAAAAAGTCTATAATTAAAATTTTATATGAAGTTCAAGGGTTAAAATAAATGTTTACCCTTTCATTAATCCTTTTTATATTTTCAATTTTGTAAAAAAATATAATTTTAGAATTTAAATTTTTAAAGAAAATATATAAATATTTTTCCAATTGTTAAAAAAACAAATATATAATAAGGACAATTTGGTTAAATATACATTCAAATAATATTTTATTCTTTTAACCAAACACGATAATCTTCCTTCCTGTTAAGTCAACCAAACACAAAATACAACATTATGAGTAATAATATTTTTTCATTTCCCACTTAACTAAACGCACACTAATGATTTAGTTCCACTCCACCATAAAATGACTTACCGTTTGAAGAATGGTAAGTCATTTTCCCTTCACACAGTCCTTTCATTTCCCCTTCCCTCTCTCCACACCGAAAATTCTCGTGATCCAGTGGCTCCTTCTCACCGGCGAGGCGGACGGTCATCTTCTCACCGGAGATGATACTACCTGTAGTAAAGCTAGGGACTCTCGCTTTAAAAACCGCTTGCAAACCCATTGCTAATCGTCTCAAGAAAGAGGCTAGTTTACATCCCAGAATCCGCCAATTCATCATCAATATTGCCCAGGTTCTCTCTCTTTTCTATATCTCTTTCCCTTTTTGATTATTATCAATTTATCATGTCTGGGTTCTCCCCCTGTTGATTTCGTGTTCGCATTCTTTCCTCTGGATTGAGCGAGCTAAAATTCTCCCCCTGATTGTTCTTTGTTCTCATTGAAGTTTGCAGATTGCTCATAATAGGTTCAACCGAAGCGTTCGTTTTACCAATTGGATATGTTTTTCCTAAAATTTGATTGATTTCTGTTCGATTTCTGCCGGTTCAGATGCTAATTTAAGCGGTAATAAAACACATGTGAGAGTCCTTCATGTATTCTTTTTTAAAAATAAAATTTTTATGTGGTTTTGAATAGGAATGAATTGTTGGAAGTTTGATTTACTGGAAAAAAATCGATTAATTCTTAATTCGGTTTTTGAATTAGATTAATGTCTATTATTTCAGCTCTAATCAAGTTTTATGATGCTTATTTTTCTTTATTGTTCAACTGTTAATGAAATATAGTATGATAAATTTCCCTTTTAACTTTATTTCCTGTGAAAACTGTAGCTCACAGATGAATCAACACTTTTTTAAGGTTTCCTGTAAAAACTATGATAATATGATATGATTTTTTGTGTTGGAATTGTGCTAACATCAAAGGGTATAGTCTTGCACAAATAAATTTTATCATTTCTAATGAATTCGACTGATATTGCATATAGCTAAGGAGATTAAATAGGTTTAGTGGATGTTTTAAGTTTTACAAATCTTGCTAGCCGATGACAGTTACGTAGTAGTATATGTTGACTGCTTGATGTGCTGGGTTCTGATTTGTGCAAATTATCTTGATATTTGCAAGTAGGTGGATCACTCTTGTTGGTGTCTTTTGTTTAGTAATAAAATTTGTGATTGCGATACACTTCTTGGTTAACTTCACTGGCCAAATCCAAGCCTTATGTGATAATGGGATGTAGGAGCAAGATACATTAGTTGCAATGTTCCGTTGGATGGTAATCAATTACTCCTCTTTGGATGAGGAGAAAGCTGTCAAGGCTGCTGCTGATCTTCTGGGGGAGCTCTTCGTGTTCACGGTACTTTCACTGTTTAATTTTACTACTCTGGCATCTTGTTCAAACTTACCACTAGGGTCTGTAATTACAATTCCTCCCATCTAGAGTTTGGGGTCATTTCTTTCACTGAAAAAACGAGTGCTAAAAAGCAGAGCATCTTTACTATTTTTTTAAAAAGGTTGTTCTTTATTTTTCACTGATTTAGGTTCAGTTTGCCTAAAGTTCTGATGTAGCAAATGAATGGACAAATTGAAAAGGCTGGTTGGTTTGGTACATGAACCCTACTGATGAATGGTCTGAATTTTCAGCTTCATTAGTCTAGTTGCCATGGCTTTATGAAGATCGAAGATGAAAATTTATTCCTGAGTATTTCATGGTGTTGTGTTGAAACTAAAGCATTTATTTGCTTTAAATTGACCTAGGAACACATAAACACATACCAATGACTTTTAGGTTCTATGATCATCCAGCTCCTAGTAGGAAACAATACTCTCTTTACACTTAATGATCCACAAGCCCTACTATGGCCATAAGATCGAGTATAGTCGAAAAGGGCATATGAACGAGAGGATGCTCTCACATTGAATCCTCTTATTGTTAACAGTGAGTTCCCACCACAAGCAAACTTCTAAGAAAATATCCTTTCACATTAGACAGCTTGGAAAGATGCTAATAGCTTTTAGGGTGAATAGAAACTCTGGGACACGGAAAATCACTTCACTGTTTTTGGTTGATGAATTTTACTCTCATACTTAGCTTAAGGGTGAAGCACTTTTACTGATACACTTTCCCACCTCTAATTCTTACATGGCTTATTGAACCAAAACTTTGCGTACTTAAACTGTATCTCTCTATAGGTTGCAGGAGCTGCTGTTATTTTTGAGGTACAAAGGAGCTCCAGATCTGAAGCAAGAAAAGAGGAGCAGCGCAAACAAGAATTGGAGGTATTTGTTTATCTCTGATAGATGTTACTACGCTAATGGATCCTTCTCTCTCATTCACTCATCTGTTTTATTGTTTGATTGAGTAAATCTCTCCACAATCTTGTTGACTTTCAAGGTGATTAGTGAAGATACTAATTTTTTACCCATTTTATTTATTTATTATTATTATTATTATAATTATTATTATTATTATAATTATTATATATATTATTATATATATTAAAAAAATAATAATAATAATTACAAACCGACCCAAACCCTAGCTCCCAACCGCCGCTTCCAGTGAGTTCCAGCCGCCCCACGTCTACACTGCCGACACCTCCACTTCCAGATGTCTAAGCCCGCCGTTGCCATGAAGCCACACACGTTGAAGCCCTATGGTGAGTCACCACCATAGCTATGGTGACTCACCAAAGCTTCCCTCTTGGGACTGGTCCGATCCGAGCACTGTGGTGGCTATAAAAAGCCACCACCAAACCTGAAAAAGGAGGAGGAAGAAGGAAGGAGAGAAAAACGGAGAGACAAAAACAAAGAGGGACCACAGCAAGCCAACACAGAACAACCCAACAGTCAAATATCGAAAGAGAAGGGAAGAGAGAAACTTACCGAGGAAACTGCAGTCATCAGAGTCTCCTCGTACCATCGGAAAGTCGAGAGTCAAAGGTAAAAAACCTTAGATCTAGGTCGATCTAAGGGGATTTAGGGTAAAAGGAGGTTGGATTTGGCCTTTAGGAGTTGAGATCTTTAATTTGGTGTAGTTTGGTAATCTCCGGCTACCGGAGACGGCGGCCGGCGGCGGCGATCGTCGCCGGAAACGGAGACCGGTTCTCTTCTCTGGTGAAGGAAAATGAGAGCTTCTCTCTCTGTAGAGAGAGAAGCAAAACCAGACAAAATGAAACAATAGCCCAAGGGAGGCCGTCCGTTTGGGTATTAATACCCTCATCAAAACGACGCCGCTTTGATGAGGGGTACCTGTGTAATTTGGTAAAGGTTAAACCCTTTCCGCAGCCATCCTAACTTGTAATCTTTACATTTTAGTCACTAAATCAAATTTATAATCCTTTTAATTTGGTCTCTAAATTTTATTTTTTTATATTTTAGCCCTTAACCGTATTTATAAATATTTAGGATAAATAACATATTTAGTCCCTTAATTTTAATAATTAATATTTTAATCCCGAGTTTATATTTTTAATTTATTTTAATCTAATATCCGAATTTTATATAGTTTTGTTTTAGTCACTAAATTAATAAAATAAGAAAATAGCATGTTTAATCCCTATAATTTTTGATTAATTATGAATTAGATTTTTAATCTTAATTTTACTATATTTTAGTCACTAATTTTAAATGTTTTCATTTATTTTACTGCTTTTAAATATATTGTTCTTATTGTATTTTTATTGTTTTATTTGTTTATATATTTAAATACTTTTATTATAATTATATAGTTATAAATATATATAATAATTAGTTATATATATTTTTAATAAATTATTTTAATATTTATTTTTCAATATCGAAGAAAAGGGTAGTCTTAATACAACTGGATGTCCTATTCTAGTATTTTAAAATTAAATATTATAAAAAATATTATTTAATTAAATATCAAAGAAAAGAACTGTCTTAAGGCACCTAGAAGTCCTTTTCCAATATTTTTAAATAAATAAACATTTTTATAATTTCGAAATAATAAGATTATAAATTAAATATATTTTGAAATTTTTAATAGAGACAATTTATAATTAAAAAGTACCAATTTTGGGCGTTGTAGGGGTGCTAATCCTTCCCTAAACGTAACCGACCACGAATCCCTTTTTATTATTAAAAAGAACGAATTTTTGGTTATAAACGCAGATCAGTTCATTTTTAATTGATGTTTTCTTAAAACTCTTTTAAAAAAATAATATTTAGGTATTCGACCTACCTGACCCAAAAGGCCGATGGCGACTCCCAAATTATTTTCAAAACCATTTATTCACATCAATTTTCCCGCCAAGTATAATATTTCGTGCCCGGACGAAAATCGGTTACGACAGCTTGGCGACTCCGCTGGGGACTGGTCAAACTTTAAAACTAATTATTAATTGCCTCTATCAATTAGAAAATTAAAAATTCATATATTTAATTTTTAATTCTTTCTTTTCAAAATTTTTATATATATACTTATTATTTTCATAGTATTTATATATTTTCTTATTAATATTTCATTTTATTTGCAAGTATTTTATTTCATTATTTGTCTGTTAGAGGTTTGAACATTTCTCCTCACACACAACACTTGCATTACATAAAGCTCTATAATTGAGTTTGTCCCTTTTAAGTGGGAGTGAAAGCGACGTCTTCGTGAGAATTTATTCTCCGTGTCAGACCTAGCAAGTAACTTTCGGGGTTCATATGCTTTTTGTCTTCGTGAGAATTTATTCTCCGTGTCAGGCATAGAGAAATGTGTCCCCTCGAATTGAACTCAGTCTGCTTAAGTCTGTAGTGGACTATGATTGAGGGTTGGCAGCCCAAAAGGGCATCAACAAGGACAATTCGAGTACCTTTACTCCTAGAACTAAAACTCTGCATATAATAAACCCTAGAAATTCACCTGATCTAAGACAATACTGAACCTCTGTTCATAGGTATACACAAAGGAGAAATAAGCTCTAGCTTTTAATTTATTTTATTTCCTTTTCTTTTTTCTGAATAAATGCATGCGAACTAGAAATCATGCAGTTATGTTAATTTTTCCAAATAAAGCATGGAACTAGAAAGCATGAGGTTAAGATTTATACATTGATAGATAGATTTTTATAGTTGGTACTAACTATTCTATTTTTTCTTATTTTTTTCATGCATGTTACATTGCTCTAATCTGTTCATATTGATTTCTTTTGTTTGCATTACATGATCATGGCATAACCAAAAGGTGTTGGCTTGAAAGACTGTTCACCATATTGGAAAGAAATCGTAAATGGACAAAAAGTTTTATGATCAAACAAAATATGATACGACCAAGGAAAGACATCCTGAAGAAATTACGAGGATCGAGGGAAGTTCTGCACACAGAGAACCGGTTATATTAATACCAAAAGTAATCCATAAAGATTCTGCCAGATTGATACCAAAAGCAGTCTATGGTAAGAGTATCAGTCGGGACATTCAGAGTAGTGGAGATTTTTATGAAGCTCAAGCATGTTATTTGAAGGACTTGAACGACCAAAACGAGAAATTAAGCACAGAAATGAAAACCATGCATGAAGATTTTCAGAAGATCAGTCAAACCTTTCAAAATGCTGGCCTAGGAAGTACCCCAGAAGAATGGATAACAGGGGTTACCAAGCTGAAAAAGAACTGCAACATATATGAAGATCTTGTTCAAGAACTTCTTGGACAGAAAAGATCTCTTACAAGGGAAAATGAGCAACTCCGAGAAGTGACACAGAAAATGAAAGAGAATATCATAGAAGAAGTTGCAGTCCAGACAAGCAATATGGTTCTTAAATGATAGATTTAGTTGATTTTATAAGGAGATGAAGCAGACTGAAGACTCAACTTTTTGAGCATGAATGGAGACTAATTTGGCTTTGGAGAAGTTAGGAATGAAATATATCCCTACATGTAAAGTTTTGTTTGATGTACCGAAACTTTTGCGTTCAATGAAATCTGTTCTAAGATGATCACTCTTGAGTAACACCTTTTCATACATGCTTTTGTATTTTGCAATTGTACATTTTTACGTTTGTATTTACATTTACATTTTTAAATTTACATCATGCATTAAAACATATTTAATTAAATAATAATGTTTATTTATTTTCAATATCAAAGAAAAGGACAGTCTTAATATAACTGGATGTCCTATTCTGGTATTTTAAATAATTTACATTTACATTTTTACATTCACATATTTACATTTGCATTTGGCATTTGCATTTTTTATGTCATAATACATTAAAACAATCATTCATTAAAATAAGGATTTCAAACGAAGTGATCTTGGTTTTTCCTTGAATCAAGAACGCTCAGCACGACACAAGAAAAATGTCTAAAGAAACTGAAGATAGGCTAGCCAAATTTGAGATAAAGCAGAAAGAAATACAAGAGGAATTGAGGAGCAAGTTGGTACAAATCGAAGCTAATTCTCAGATCGATCTATTGAACAATATGAAAGAAATGATTGATAAGCATTTGACTGCTGGAAAGAGTCTTGTTGAAAACCCCACAAATTCTTTGGGTGTTACACCTGTTCAGATTCCTGAGTTCACCTCTGTACCCCAGGAAATTCAGTCACCAATTTATTTTGCTGTTAAGAACTCACCATATCAAGCTGGAGCATCATTCCCCACTAATTGTCCTACTATTTCTGAGTTGGAGCCTGATGAATTTTGTAATAAGGTCATTGACCTAAACAAATCAGTTGAGAAGGAAAAATTCACTCAACGACTGGAAAATATAGAAGAGGTGATAAAATCTATAGAGACAGTTGAGTCATTTTATGGGTTTGATGCCAAAGAACTAAGTTTGGTCCCTAGCCTGGTTATTCCACCAAAGTTCAAGGTTCCAGATTTTGAGAAGTATAATGGGACCACATGCCCTTCATATCATATCACTATGTATTGTCGTCGTATGGCTGGCTATGTAGAAAATGAAAAGTTGTTGATCCACTGTTTCCAAGACAGTTTATCTGGGTCTGCATCCAGATGGTATAATCCACTAAAACGTACTCAAATACGTTCTTGGAGGGATTTAGCTCAAGCTTTATTGGGTCAATACAAGCACATGACTGATATGGCATATGGCCCCTGATCGAACAATGTTGCAAAGCATGAATATGAAGTGCAATGAAAGCTTTCGACAATATTCACAACGATGGAAAGACGTTGCTTCTCAAGTACATCCACCATTGACTGAAAAAGAGTTCACTACTTTGTTCATCAGCACATTAAAATTTCCTTATGTTAATCACATGATAGGGGTTGTCCCTAATAATTTCTCTGACATCATCATAA